GAAATCATAGTCTTTCTTGGTTTTGAATCCTTTCTCCAAGAAGGAAGCCAATCATCAAAAAGGAGTTGTGTATCAGGAGAACTTGTCACGTTGGTTTCTTTACACCTGAGAGCCCAGATTTTACCTTGGGAATCAAAGGACATTCAGACTATATTTTAAAACAAATTCCTGATCTGCAAATTTTAGTATTAAATGCATACATTCCCCCCATATCCTCCCTGTTTTATTGTGGGAGTGCCCAGACAAGCAAACTCGTATAGTAGGTCTTTAGTTCCCAATTGCTTGTCTAATTATTTTGGGAGGTTAATGCTTAGATAGGTTCTCCAATGAACTCAGTATAAGGGGAAGAAAACATTAAGGAGATTTTTGAACTTCCCCCTTGAAACTCTAGAGATCCAGTGTTTAACATCTCTGGACAAAAACCAAATGCTTTAATAGATTAAATGTAATCTGATACCTATAAATGGAATGAGTGCAGGGGATAGAGAAAGCCATTTTACCTATATTTCATAAACTGGTGGTATTACTGATTATATTATCCCCATAATTAACTGGCCTTTCTAAAGAGATTTCGCTATACTTTCTCATATGGATAGCGACCACCAATTTCTCTCTATAATGAATGATAAAATTCTCTCTTAAAAAAGGGGATTATTTCTGATGGGTGAGGATGCCTTGATTACCTGTTTGGAACAACATGGTTGCAAGACTAAAATGGATCCCAGACATTTGTGTCACATTATCTAGGAGATTGGAAAACTTAAGATTTTTTTAGATGTAATAATTACATCTGAGAACTCCTCTCAAATTTGTGAATATGAGTTGCTGGTAAAGTCCTTACAATCGCTTGTCTCTAAACAAATTGATTTTGGTTTTAATTATCCCAAAAATGCTTTCAAAGATAAGCACACTTGGTTCGATGAAGACCATGTGAAGGAAAAGTCTGCTCTAGCGCATAAAGCTAATAGGGTAAGACGCAGTTCCTCTAACTTACTTCCTAATTTAGTAACTACCAGAAAATGATATAAAGGTTTATTATATCAAAGAACAAGAATATTTTAGATCCTAGTGGAAGGATTTTGAAGCAGCAGCTAAAGTTAATTTTTTTTCCATATTTTGGAAGATGGTGGCCTCAAGCTCTGGTAGGATGCCGCTGAGGATCCCCATATTAATGACTGAGCCCAATAGCACATTTTGGCCAGGTCTTTGATGATTCTCCCTTCCGATTTTTTTTAATCTAATTCTACTACAGTTGATGTAATAAGGAATCATCTCTTTGATTTATCACTCTGTCTTCCAGTAATGTACAATAAAATTCAGTCATTTATTTTAGCCCAACAACAGAAAAAAGCTCCAAAGGAGAATTTCTCTTTTCTGAATTTTTTTGGAAGAATCTTGATTGGTGGTCCACATTCATGGCTACATTATTTACTGTCATTAATCACACTGGATGGATTCTATCTGACTGGAAGTCTAGTATCATAGTTCCTATTTTTAAAAAGGGGGACAAAGAATCCTGCTTCAGAGAGACCTACGAGTCTGGTGGACGTAGCACAGAAAATGTATTACAGATTTTTACTATCTAAACTTGAAATATGGATTTTAGACACTAATTTACTACATATAGAGCAGTCTGGCTTTAGGGCTGGTAGAGCCAGAATTGACAGGCGTTTTCTCTTATATGGTTTATAAATATAATCTAGTGCTCTTAACCACAGTATATGCTGCTTTCATAAATCTAAAGATGGCATTTGATGCTATTAACTGAGAAACTTTGCTCAGAACTAAGAAGCATGTGTATTCATTTAAGACTTTTGTATATTCTAGGGGCTCTACATCAGGGCAATATGACAAATATAAAAACTAAAGTCAATGGAGACTGTAGTAATATTTTCCCTACTTTTCTAGCATGTCTTTTTAATTTATGTATTAATGATGTGGTGGATGTTTTAAAGATAGATTATTTCCTGATGGCCTGACATAAAGTCCTTCCACTGCATAGGTTGGCTCTGCACCGAACTGATCCAGACCTATCAATCTAAAACTACTGAGGGAGATTTCAATAAAGGATGAGATTAAGTTTCCCACAGAATCAATATCCAAAAAAATGTTTTGTAAGAGAGAATTTCTTTAAAAGTCACATTTTAATTAATATCAAGTGAGGGAATTGGCCTCCCATCAGGCCAAGTACAAAAGAGGGGTGGGGACACATGAGAAACTGCTTCACTTTAAAGTGGAACCACAAGTTATACAAGTATCAATAAAAACAAGTGTTACGTGCTTCCCTAGAGGAAAGACTAATCAGACAGTTCTAGAAGGAGAGAACACTGACTAATTGATATCACAGACACTGAATTGAGGTGTATAGTGGGTAGTCAATGGAATCTGCTTAAAGGGCAAATTCTCTAGTTGGTTGATTAAATGGGAGGTGTTTGTGTAGAACAGTAGTTATTCTGCTTATTAAGCCCAGTTGGCAGGATTTTCTAGCACCAGGAAAAAGTATAAAAACAAACACCCCTAAATGTAAAATAAACAAGAACTTTAAAAACAAAATGGAAATAGCAAGTGGTTTGCTTGAATGTTATACCCTCTGACCACCCTTCATCTATTTAGATTGTAAACTCTGAGTAGGGAATGTTATCCTAATTGTTTGTCAGCACAAAGGGGGCCCCAATATGGATTTGCACCATTGGTTGCTACTACTACATAAATAATCAAATGTGCAAAGAATAGCAGACCAGCAGCATGCAAGCAGTGTGTAAAATACTTGTAACAGCAGCTGGTACTTATATGTACTACTGCTCTCTATGGGTTGGAATCAGCCCCACCTAACATTTATCAGACACGTTCCTTGATGGAAGCCTGAAAACAGGACATTAAGTGCTATGACTTGTAACAGCTAGTAATGAACACGGGATAACAGCAGTTACAGATGAAAGGCTCTTACTGTTGCCAACTCTCATGATTTTGTCATGAGTCTCAATAATTGTTTTCCTTAAAGCCCCAGCTCCTAGGGTCAAGTAGGACATGTGATGATTTCAACCTTCCTTCTTAAATAAAAAGATAGATAGCTAACCCTCATGGCTATGGAGAAAACCTCAAAATGTGATCCCAGTAGATCCTAGAGGCTCAGAAGGCAAATTAAAAGAACACCAAATCTATTTTTTAAATATACCCTCATGCCTTAACAGCCAATCTTATGATTTTTTTGTGAGCCTGATATGATTTTTGAACATTCGGAGTTGGAAATACTAGACATTGTTCCTTTCGGCACATTAGATCGTGTCCATTTAGGAAAAATAGACCTGCACCTCTTTAGCAAAATCACTAGCTTCCCATTGT